CATGGAAATTCTATGGAGAGATCAACGGTCGGCCAGAGCATTGGAGGTTCTAGAGAATTTATTAGAAAGGAATCAAGGAGATTCACATTCGTTGAAGAGCTTTGCAAGCAAAATTTTGGAGTAGTCTTTTTACATATATTAATAAAATATGAGGAAAATTACGGTTCCAATAAAGTATATGTGGAAGAGAGATTATGGTGAAAATTTTATATGAGTATTTATTGGCTTTGAGAGCAATAAATAAAGTGTACCTTATAGGATATTATATACGTGTGGAAGAAACGTTAATCACTGGATGCATGTTGGTCGTGTTGAGAAGNATTATCTATNTAATATATATGTTTCTTTTTAGCAACAATCATGTGTTACTTTTTGTACCCTCAGTGTTCGTTACTACGATTCATTGTAACATGTTAGATCATTTTTTTATTATAAGGATGGTCAGGTGCTTTATGATAATTTGACTTTCATCGTGTTTTATTAATGTCTACATAAATTTTGTAGGTTATCCTGTTAGAGCTGATCTAACAAGAATAGAGGCCAACTACTTTGAATGATGTTTTTTTTAAGGAAAAACTTTGATCCCAATCTTTTCGCTCTTATCATTTATATTTAGTAGAGAAAACGACGGAGAGATATATCAAATTGTTTGCTTGGCCAAATAAATTATCAACGTTAAAATTGGTTGTATGTGTTTGAATTTTGATGTGAATTTGGACAATTGGATTACATGTTAGCTAATAGCTACAAATTAGGGATTGAATTTACACTTTTCTAATGAATTTATAAATTATTAAGGTTTATCTTGGATTTTTGTTTTGAATATATATTATATGTATTAATGAATTTTTGTTTTGACTATATGTATAAATTCTAAAAAATATGATTGAAAACTTACTTTTATGAAAACTAAGTACTAATCGAAATCAATTTAAAATAGTTATAGGCCATCATATGATATAATTGTTGATATAAAATTATATAAGAATGATAAGTGCAACGAGAGTATAAAACATCCACGAAAACGAACTGAACACTACATATACGAGTTATATCTCTAGATGCGCTGAATTGAACCACATTTTTGTTTAGTTTGTTAGGGTTAAGTCTTCTTAAAGGTCTCCAATCTTAGGATTTAGTTTCTTTTAGTTTCAAAAAAATTAATTATTTTTGATGAATTTTTAATTTGCTAGAAATATAAATGGTATATGCATAAATTATAAAAATATGATTGAAAACTTACTTTTATGAAAACTAAGGATTAATCTAAATCAATTTAAAATATTTAGGGGCAATTACAAAAATACCACTTTTTGTGTGTACATTTGCAAGAATGCCACTTAGCATATATCTTAAAATTTTAAACCCTAAAAAATGTTTTGACACCTAAA